CTTTCACAAATGTTTGCAACTTGGGTGTTTAAAAAAAAATCCACAAAGTTGTAGGACCTTACAGTGACTGAAAAAATAGACAATTAATTATTTGAAGTTTTCTTTTAAGAAGTCATTGGGGAATCAGCCAAGCTTAAATGGGGGTAATTGGTAGGTCTATGGTTGTAATTTACATAAATTATAGACACATAACACCAGACATTTATCTAATTGTAAAAAATAATCTGGTGTTAAGTTACTTCCCTAAAAGAATTCTACTTGTGCTTTGTACCATTTGGTGATTAGACAATTCTCCTGAGAATTTAAATGTGTTTCTCTGGGGACAGAATATGTGCAAAATGGGAATAATTGTTTAAAAAAGCTCACTTTTTCCTTACTTTGCAGAAGTTCAAAGTATCTATACATTTCTTTAATAAAAATGGTATTAAATAACCTTGTGATTCTTTTATATTTGTACTCACTTTCCTACTAGAGATACCAATTAGCACTCATCATTATAGCTGCTTTTTTAAGTAATGAATTCTTCATTCTCCTAATCAATCTGCTATCACATGTTGTATGAGCCTTAGTTGGGTTTTTCCATATAAATAACAAGAAACATAAAATTATAATACAACCTTTTCCAAATATTTCTTATACCAAGTTCAAAATGCTATTTTAAACAAGTATGTTAGGCAGCTAGAACTTAAACCATTACAGAATTATATGCAAGAGAATTTAATCCAGATATTTAAGCTTCATTAATTATTCCAAGTTCTACAGATAGGGATCTGGAGTCAAACATTGAATTTTAAGTATACTTTATTTAAGCCTTGGGGGGGTCTAACCCAGCAGTGGTCAGGGGTTTCTGCTGGATCTGAGCTCAGGGATCACTCCTGGCAGGGGTCAGGGTTCATATGTGGTGCTGGGAGGTGGGTGCATGAACCTAGGTGCATGCAAGGCAAGTACCCTACCCACTGTACTATCTCTCCTGTCCTTAAGAATATTAAAAAAAAACACATGATAACATATAAGTAAATTTTAAAACTTAAATGATCTCCAGCCATAGTCTATCTACCATATCCTAGAGAGTAATCTTAAATGTTAAAATATCTCACACTTTCATGTTGGGACCTGCTCATTTTCAGCTTACCACAAACACTAATGGCATTTATTCACCAAGCCCATTCAATTATTTAACCATCAGTTTCTAAACAACAGTATTTGCCAGGAATTTTGTCGAATGAGGGAGATTAAGCATAAGACATACATCTTACTTGCAAAGATAACCAAGCAAAGGAGACCAACCTGACACCAGTTCATAGACACAGACTGAATTTGCAAGGCCAGAGTTATGGAAGAAGTAAAGCAGCAAGGGAGCAATGACAGGAATCTAGAAGGTGAGGACACAAGCGGGAAAAAATAAATATACATACCAATGTGAGAATCAAAAACATTTATGTATCAAGGGAACTTTTTTTTGTTGTTTTTTTGGGTCACACCTGGCGATGCACAGGGGTTACTCCTGGCTCTGCACTCAGGAATTACTCCTGGCGGTGCTCAGGGGACCATATGGAATGCTGGGAATCGAACCCAGGTTGGTCGCGTGCAAAGCAAATGCCCTACCTGCTGTGCTATCGCTCCAGCCCCTCAAGGGAACTTTTATGTATCAGGTTCTTATACACAAGGTGAGACTGAATCATAGAGACACTCATGTGCTGTTGTGTTAAGAGATTTGGACTTAATTCTGAAGGTAAGAAAGAAGAATTTAAACAAATTAGAAGGAGACAGAGCCAATAGAAGGTGCATTTTACACAAATATTCTGGTTCTTCAGGCTGGAACGATAGCACAGCGGGTAGGGTGTTTGCCTTACACACAGCCGACCCGGGTTCAATTCCTTTGTCCCTCTTGGAGAGCCTGGCAAGCTACCGAGAGTACCCCGCCCGCACAGCAGAGCCTGGCAAGCTCCCTGTGGTGTATTCAATATGCCAAGAACAGTAACAAGAAGTCTCACAATGGAGGCATTACTGGTGCCTGCTCGAGCAAATCGATGAACAATGGGAGGACAGTGCTATAGTGCTATTCTGGTTCTTGATAGAGAAAGTAGAATTTAGGTAAATACCATGAAAGCTCAGAAAGACCAGTTATGAGACTTGTAAAAATTAAGATAAGAGATAATTTAGGACTCGTGGTAATTGTCAACTTACATAGATTTTCTTTGCCAATGAGAGATTTCTTCCAGAAGCAAGATTTGGTGGGACTGATCAGTAATAGTGAAGGGAACTATGGCTACATTCCTATCTTAAATGGAAAGGATTTCCCCACCCTCCCCCTACTCCTTGCCCCACAGCTTTCCTTTCATGAACGTGAGTTGTGGGCAAAAAAAAAAAAAAAAAATTCCAGTTTTAAAATTAGACAAAATTTTTCTTGATAATCAAGGTGAAGATTTGAATCTTGAAACAGTTTTTACTCAGGAGCTGCTCCACCTGTTACTAGCTCAAGATATCTTAGAGAAAAGAAACAATCTGTGTCAGACAGTACATTCCAATATTTTTAAATAGAGTTTCTGGGTCAAACTTTTCTATTTGTTCTGATTCAGAGATTGCTGTTATCTATCCAATAAGGGAGTCAAGACAAGCTTAGACAAGCAAGGTTAGACTTTTGCTTTAAACTTGCTTGAGTACCTGTTTCGTTACCTTTTTTGGGGGGAGGGGCACACCTGGCAATGCTCAGGGTTTACTCCTGGCTCTATGCTCAGGAATTATTCCTGGTGGTGCTCAGGGGACCATATGGAATGCTGAGCAACAAACCTGGGTCGGCCACATGCAAGGCAAACACCTTACCACTGTGCTATTGCTCCAGCCCCCTATTTAATCATCTTATAACTGCCTTCTGGTCAGCAACAGAAGTTAAAAAGAAATTGAGAATTTGTAGGTTTTATTTCTGCATAGGCATGTGGATTTATCTGCAGGATTTCTTCCCATAACCAGGTAAGTCTAATTTTGACAAAAGTCCATGCAAGAGTCTTGAACTTTCTTTAAGCCTGCCACATCAGAGGGACTCCAAATGAAATTCCAATTTGAACAGTACTTTAGAATTTTCTAAAAGATCAAAGCAGTAAGTCATTAAATGATATTTCTGGGTGTTTTATTTTATTTAGTTTTGGGGTTACACCCAGTGGTGCTCAGGACAGGAATCAATCCTCGTAAGATTCAGGGGGCCATATTGAAAGCCTACGATTGAACCCAGCTCAACCACATGAAAGACAAGTTCTTTATCTGGTATACTATTGCTCCAGCTCTGTTTCTAAGTGTTGTTTTTATTTATTTTTTTAAAATAAATACTATAAAGAATTACAACACTTCCAATTCACAATTCAGGTACAGAAAACCTAATAATATTAAACTAACAGGAACATCCTCTATACTAAACTATTAACTATTTTCCTTGTTAGAATGATTTAACAGAAATCCATTGAGTTTGAAATGGAGTGATGGGGTATAAGAACAAAGAAAAAGAAAATGAATGGTTTATGTTTAATCTTACTTTACACCATATTATGTTATCCTAAAAAAAATACTGGTGAGAGTACCAGTTTAATTGTAAAAAGTTTAAAATTGTTAAGGATAAAAGGAACTGTAGCTTTAGTAGATCAGATAACGCTCTTGTCTTGTGTGAGGCTGACCTGAATTTGATCCCCAACAATACTTCGGGGTCCTCCAAATTCCACCAGTAGTGATCAAAAAATTGTTTGGGAAATTAAATTTGAATTAGACATTTAAAGAAAGTCTGATATATCTCTGTGAAACTCTACGTTCTGAGAAATAATTTAATGCCTAGCTCATGAATACTAAACCTAATTATCTTTTTTAAGTCCTGAAAACTAGCCGTCAGAAACACAAATATCGCCATTCCAGAAGAGGGCAGCAAAACTTTACTAAGCAGTTTAAAAAATCAGAGTAGCTTTTTATACTGCTTAACAATATTTTTCAAATGTTCAGTAAGAGCTAAGTGAACATACAAACGTATATGTTCATAAAGGTATAACTAATCTTATATATGTTTACACACACACACACACACACACACACAAGCTTATTTTATGTGAGCTCTATCATCTAATTGTAGACTTTTTTGGTTTTGCTTTTTAAGGCCATACTTGGTGCTTCTCAGAGCTTAAGTAAAGTAAAGGCCCTCCCGTTGATCATCGATTTGCTCGAGCGGGCCCAGTAACGTCTCCATTGGAGACTTTGTTGTTACTGTGTCTGGCATATCGAATACTCTCGGTAGCTTGCCGGGCTCTCCGAGAGGGGCGGAGGAATCGAACTCGGGTCGGCCATGTTGGCTGTGTGCAAGGCAAATGCCCTACCACTGTGCTATCGCTCCAGCCCTCTCAGAGCTTAATCCTGGCTTTATGCTCAGTGACCCCTCATGTTGGTGCTTAGTGAACCATATACAGTCCAAGGATCAAATAGGAGTCATCCTTGGTTTCTTACCCCATATAGTAACTCTCTGGATCCTTCAGGTATTATATTTGCTTAATCAAAATTTTTTGCAGAGTTCTGAATCCACAAATGTGCTTGGATGGATAGGACCTAAAGCAAGAGCAGAAGGAAACAGATGTGCGAAAAATGTAGCCAGTGTGTGATCTTTGATTTGATCCCTGGCACCTTATAAAGCCCCCAAGCACTGCCAGGAGTGAGCCCTGAACACAGCTGGACAACCCAATTTCTCCCCACACCCTCTCCATAAAAACCAGAATGTGAGTACCACAATTAAATGAGTGCGACCTCCATTTACCACCAACCAAAACAAAAAAACAGTAACAAAGGAAAGGTTATAAAGGTCATAAAAGAGACACAGAAAAATTTTTGTCTTAACCTTTTTTCTGTGTATAAATCAACAGTTAAGTACTATCACATGATATGTGCCCAATTCTACCTCTTTTTTTTTTTTTTCCTGCAAAACTGGTGCTCAAGCAATTGGAAAATGACTTGCTGACTTAAAGTATTGCCCATAGGTGCTGAGGCAATCCTGACAGATTTGCTCTTTGGAATTCTCAGAGAGGAAGATCCTGGAAGATTGCTCAGTGGCTTAGGCAACAATCAGGGTAAGTAAGTGAACTGAATCTCTGGTTTTCAGCAAGCACCAGGCAATCCATACTGTCCAATGGGCTGACATCCTGGCAAGGGAAAACAGCAAAAAAAAAAAAAGTTAACACCTTTAGACATTAAAGCACAATTTCCTGTTTCCCTACCCCCAGCCCTGTCTGCTTTCTGGTCTATGATTTTGACTATTCTAGGTACCTTATACAAATAGAATTATACAATAATTATCCCTTTGTGATTATTCCTTATTCCTTTCCTATAGTATCTTCAAAGTTTAGCCATGCTATACCATGTGACAGGAATATTCTTCTTTAAGACTGAATAACACTCCATTGCACATATATATCCATTTAATTTAGCCATCTATCCATCAATGGAAATGAAGCTTCTTAGCTTCTGTGAATAAAGCTGACTTGCTCTCTGAGACCTTGCGTTCTAGCCTTTGAATATGTACTGGTAAGTAGTATTGCTGGATTATATGGAAGTTTTAATTTTTTGATAAACCATCTTCTATCTTACTGCTTTCTGTAGGACCTGCCCAATCTTACCTTCACACCAAAGCACAGGGCTCTAATTTTACCCACTCACCCATCTTTCTTTTTGTAGTTTTTATCTTTTGGACCATGCCCAGTAGTACTCAAGGATCACTTCTGGCAGGGCTGGGGGAAACCCTACAAAGTGCTGGTGATTGATTGAACCTAGGTTAGCCTCATGCAAAGCAAATGACAGAACTGATTGTACTACCTCTCTAGCCCCACCAATATTTATTTAATTTTTGGTGAGTGCTGAGGGCACATCAAATGGTGGTCAGGGTGGTGCTTGGAAGCCCCTATGTGCCAGGAATCAAACCTGGGTGGGCCCATGTGCAAGGGCCCTTACCTACTGTCCTATCTCTCCAGCTCTCTCTCTCTTTTGTTTTTTCAAATACTAGCAATGTTAACAGGTGTTAATGATATCATATTTTTTGTTAATGATATCTTTGTGGATTTTATTTTGTTAGTAATGTTGGGCATCTTTTCATATGCTGTTGACCATTGTTATTAATTATAGATTAAATTATGGATTAAATTATTTATTTATAATAGGTGAGTAAAGGTATCTCATGGCATCGCATTTATTTCTTATCTAGTGATGATCATCTTTGACTAGATTCATTTACCATCCAATATATTTCTTGGGGCTGGAGCAATAGCACAGCGAGTAGGGTGTTTGCCTTGCACACGGCTAACCCGGGTTCAATTCTCAGCATCCCATATGGTCCCTCAAGCACTGCCATCAAGTGATTCCTGAGTGCAGAGCCAGGAGTAACCCTTGAGCATCGGCTGGGTGTGACCCAAAAAGAAAAAAAAAACCCAATCTATTTCTTGTTTGTCCACATATTTTGCATATTTTAATTGTTGGGTTATTGGGAGCTTAAGGATGAAAATCAGCAAAAACGTCTGCAAGTGGAAGGCTTTTACTTTGATCCCTACCAAAATACCACCCACCTGCACTGAGTGTGGTTCCTGCTGTCTGGGGCCACTGTAGTACAATGGAGTATGTCATCTCCAGCACACTTGCAGGCATGTATGAACACAACTCAAGTGTGGGATTATTTATTTATTTATTTATTGACTTTTTAGGTCACACCCGACAATGCACAGTGGTTACTCCTGGCTTTGCAATCAGGAATTGCTCCTGGCGGTGCTCAGGGAACCAAATGGAATGCTGGGAATTGAACCTGGGTCGGCCACATTCAAGGCAAATGCCCTACCCACTGTACTATCACTCCAACCCTAAAGTGTGGGATTCCTAGTGAGCACAGCAACTATAAATATAAGCAAGTACCATAACTATTTAAGTGTGCAAGCGCCAGTGAACAACACCCTGGCTGAGTGTGCAAGCACCACAGACCAAGAATGTGTGTCCCCTCTGGCCAACACCACAAAAGGAAAAGAAGGGGTGGGGAGAGTTGCATCATTTGTTTTCTTATTACATTTCCAGATTTCTTTATGTATGTGACTCAAATCCTCTAACAGAGGTGTACTTCCTCCAGTCTGTGTCCTATCTTTTTAGTCTTTCAGTTATGTCTCTTTCTTGATCATGTCAGAGCAGAAGTTTTTTCTTTTAGTTTTTTTTTTTTTTTGAGGTAGTGGGGCTCCAAGGTCATGTTGAGCCAAAAGCTGTTAAGAGCCAGGAGTTAAACTCAGATTGTCACCATGTAAGTCGTGTGCTCTGCCTTTTAAAAATCAAGTGTCCATTTATTGGTTATGTTTGGGGGCTCTCAATTTATGCTATTGACAATCTATCCTTCTACCAATATTACTGATTTGGTTATTGTAGTATTATAGGAAAATTTGAGCAACTCTTTCAATTTTGTTCATGTTAAGTTGTTTCGGGTATTTTATGTTTTTCAGGCCCTCCCGTTGATCGTCGATTTGCTCGAGCGGGCCCAGTAACGTCTCCATTGGAGACTTTGTTGTTACTGTGTTTGGCATATCGAATACTCTCAGTAGCTTGCCGGGCTCTCCGAGAGGGGCGGAGGAATCGAACTCGGGTCGGCCATGTTGGCCACTTGTAAGGCGAACGCCCTACCGCTGTGCTATCGCTCCAGCCCATTTACCTTAATGTTTTTCAGATTCTATATAAATTTTATCTTATGGATTTGTGACAGTGAATTTATATTTTCTTTTTTGGGACAGAGGGGCACACCTAGAGACAAGTAGTGCATAAGGGATATTCCTAGCTATGTGCTTAAGGGTCCTTCCTGGTGTTGCCTTAGAGATCATGAGGTCCCAGGATGAACCTGGTGGTGCTGGGATTGAACCTGGGTCTTCTGCATGCAAAGCATGTGCTCTAGCCCACTGAGCTATCTCTTTCACGAAGTATTTTAAATGTATCCAAATAGATTTATGTAAATCTTAATTTTAAGAAAATTGGGGGCCACACCCAGAAGCACTCAGGGACTATGTTCTGGGTCCAGATTTCTATATGGATTTTACAATCAACTTTTAAATTTTAGTAAAATAGTCAACTTTGACTTAAATGTGGATTGCTAAATCCATAGATTAGTTTTAGGAGAATGGATCTCTTAATAATATTGAGTGTTCCAATTCATGAACATGGTATGTTTTTCCATTTATTTAGGTGTCTTGTAATAATTTTTATCCCCCCCCACTCCCTCCATTTCCTTCCCTTTGTTGTTGATGCAATGACTGGGTGTTGCACATCAGATTCTGGTATTCAGACAGCTGGCTGTGGTGCTTGGTGAAGATTGCACCCTTTAGCTACAGTCCCTACAACAGTCACTCCTGATTCTGGTATGGCTGGACACCACAGCACCAGGGATCATAGACAGCAGAGCTGCCAACACTGCACTTTGTGCAAGTGGTTGCACCAGAGATTGAACTCACAGCTTCACACTTGCTCAGCAGAAATTTTAGTCATTGAGCTGTCTTCTGGTCCTAATGCTCTGAATTTTTACATATAAAATGCTTAAAAAACATTTGTTTTTCATATTTTTATGGTAAGTGGTATCATCTTACATTTCAATGTCCTATAGTTTAAGGGTCAAGAAATGGCTTAAAAGGCTGGAGCACATCTTTTGCTTTGGGGCCCCACGTTGCTTTTGAATTGACTGATTGTGAGCGCACATGTGCATATGTGCGTGTGTTAATCATTTGGTATCATTTTCCTTCTGCCGCAAAGACTTCTTTTAACATGCTTTGTAGTTCTGGTTTCCTGGTAATAAATTCTTTCCAATTTTCTATAACTCAAAGAATTTATTTTGATTTTGCTTCTGGCTGGAGCGATAGCATGTTTGCCTTGCACGCAGCCAACCTGGCTGACCCGAGTTCGATTCCTCCGCCCCTCTGGGAGAGCCTGGCAAGACACCGAGAGTATCTCGCCTGCAAGGCAAAACCTGGCAAGCTACTCGTGACGTATTCGATATGCTAAACACAGTAACAACAAGTCTCACAATGGAGACGTTACTGGGCCCGCTCGAGCAAATCAATGAAAAACAGGAGGACTGTGCTACTGTGCTACTTCTGAAATTCAGTTCCACAGGTTTTAGGGCTCTAAATTTAATTATTTTCCATTTAGTGTTCAAAAATTTCACCTACCCTGTTGCCAATGAGAAATTTCTTGTCATCTTTATATTTGTTTCTTCAAAAAAATAAGTAGTCTTTGACTACTTTTTCTCTGAATCACTGATTTGAATAACTTGGTAATGATACATCCTTGTGTCATTTCATCCAGTTTCTGAGGCTCACTAACTTCTTAAATCTGTGGATATATAATTCCCAAGTTTATGAAAATTCTTTCAATTCTATCATCACAGACTGGGGGGGGCGGGGGGAGGACACATCCATTGGAGCTCAGGAGCTACAGCTCCAGGCATAGTGTTCTGGGATACTCCCAGTGATCTCTGGGAAACCATATGGCTCTAGGGCTCAAATCTAGGACTCCCACATGCAAAGCATGGGCTCCAGATCTTTGACTATATCTTTGACCCCAAATATTTATTTTTTTGTCTTTTCCATTCTCTAATTCTCTATCCGTATAGATGTGCTCTAAATGCCCACACATGCTTTTCAGTTTTTTTTCTATGTGTATGAGGCAGGGGGTGATGGTGAGTGGGATCATGGTGTAGAGGGAATCCAACCAAGGGCTTAAACATGAATAGGAAGTGCCCTACCTATGAACTCCACCCTCTTTTTACCTTATGTGTTCATCTTTGATGGTGTATATTACTATATCTTGTTCACCAACTTTCTGCAATATATGATCTGTTACTAACCTCATCCATTTTCTTCTTGACATGATAGTTTCATCCTTAGAATTCCGATTGGGTCATTTCTTCTTTACCCTCCATATCATTCATGCCTCTACCTAAAATATGGGAAAATGCTATAATAAATGTTCTCATTGTCTTCGTGAGATTCAGCTGCAGTTGACATTTCCACACTCACCGTCGAAGTCGGCCAGCATTTGCGCCGCTTGGCTAATATTTGGTGTTATTTGAATGATGTCATCAGCGAAGTGGAGGTTGTGTAGTTGCCAACCATCTATCTTCACTCCCATTCTTTCCCATTCCAGTCGTCTCATGATGTTCTTAAGGGTCGCACTAAAGAGTTTCGGTGAAATGGTATCACCCTGGTTTCACCCTGCCGAACCCCTCTCTTGACGTCGATGATCACTTCCTTGTAGAATGGTGAGATCCTGGTGTTGAATTCGTAAAGTAGCTCATAGAGGATCCTGATGTATTGAGTTTGAACACCCTGTTTGGCTAGGGCTTCGATGACCACTTCAGTCTCAACAGAATCAAAGGCCTTCTCTAAATCAATGAACATTAGACAGAGCGGCATCTTGAACTCCCGAGAAACCTCAATGAGCTTGGTTACCATGTGGACATGGTCAATCATGCTGAATCCTTTTTGGAACCTGGCTTGCTCGCATGGTTGTCCTTCAGAACACTAGATAGTGTTCTGCCAATCCTATTCCGTATGACTCAAGTGAATAGCTTGTAGACAACAGACAACAGGCAGATGGGGTGATAGTTGCCAATGTTGTGAATGTCTCCCTTCTTGTACAGTAGAATGGTCCTGCTGGTTTTCCACTGGGACAGAACCTTGCATTCAGACAGGTAGCGTGTGAAGAGCTGAGCCAGTGT